GATCTTATGTCTCCCTGTAGCACAATTTGCTGTTTTGATGGTTATTGCAAGATACTTGAAAGGAAATGAATTTGTAGAAGGACTTTTGCTTTGTCATCTTCTTTCCGAACGCACGACAGGTGCAGATATTTTTCATGCCATTGATTCCTACTTTACTAAAAAGGGAATAAAGTGGTCAAAGTGTTGTGGATTATGTACTGACGGTGGTAAATCTATGTCAGGTTGTTATTCTGGTCTCCTGGGATGTGTCAAAGCAGTAGCTCCTTTAGTACAGTGGACACATTGTTTCATTCATCGACAAGCTCTTGCATCAAAGTGCCTTCCTACTAGTATGAAAGATGTTTTGGACGATTCAGTAAAAGTGGTCAATTTCATCAAATCCCACCACACGAATTCAAGGTTATTCTCTTCATTATGTCAAGAAATGGGCAGTATTCACAAAACCCTACTCCTTCATACTGAGGTTCGATGGCTATCTCGGGGTAAAGTTCTTACACGTTTGTTTGAACTTAGGCATGAAGTCAAAGTGTTCCTTGAGAACCACCCTTTCCGACTTTCATTTAAATTTGATGATCATGAATGGCTTCAAAGCCTTGCATACATGTCCGATATCTTTTCGAAATTAAACCAACTAAATTTGTCCCTTCAAAACAGTGCAGTAACTGTATTCCAAGTTACAGACAAAATTGAGTCTTTCGTTAGAAGTTATGTATTGAGAAAAACCAATCTGAAGTTTTTGAAACATTACACGATTTTCTCTCTGAAACGGATGCTCATGTATCTCTAGAAATTAAGAAGCAAATTATACAACATCTGAATGGACTGAAGGCTGCTTTCGACAAATCTTTCCCCAAACATAGAACAGACGATTACTGGATTGCGTACCCTTTCAGTGAAAAGTATTTCGAGTGTGCATCTCTATCACTTCAAGAAAAAGTTAAGTTGATCGAACTGAAAACGGATTCTTCACTTAAGCAAGAATTTGAAAAGAAATCCCTCATTTCATTCTGGGCTGACTTGAAAGAAGAATATCCTGAATTATTTAACAAAGCAATAACTATTTTGTTACCGTTCACAAGCACCGTATTTAAAAAATAAGTACAGGAACAGACTTGCCAGTGTAAGTTCGAACCTGAGACTATATTTATCATCTTCCGATCCAGATTTCAAATTACTGAGTGCTTCCAAACAGCCTCAAGGTTCTCATTAATGTGCATCTTACATATTTACATTTTTTAGTTTAACTAAATGTGTATAATTAGTATATAATATGCATTATTTTGTAATAACTGGTAGAAATAAAAATATTTCAGTGTTATAGACTTATAGAGTTATTACTGTACCTATATGTACATATTAGTAATTATAATATGCATATCATGGAGAAGGGGTACGTGGAGCACTGATGATAGGTCAGGGGGTACGCGAGTAAAAAAAGGTTGAGAAACGCTGGTCTATGCGATTGCTGTGTGTTTTTAGACGTTATATCTTAGACGTATTCATATTAGTTTTGAAGTTTTATGTTTTTAGACGTATTAATGTCTATCATGTAACCTCTAAAAACACAGACAGTTACCTGGCGTGGCAAGTAGTATGACGTAGAGTGCGGGCAACCAACCCGTAGTCGACTACAAAAATACAATGAATGTAGCAGTCCTGTAAAGGTGTGTCCAGACATTGCGCGGCAGCAACGCGCGGCGTTCGTCGGACACAATTCTGCCGCGCGCCAGTTTGGACGTATTCAAATAACGTGTGCGCGGCAGTGCTACGCGGCATATGCGCGGCACGCCGCGCAATGTCTGGACACACCTTTAGATTCTACTGTCCTTGTTACAAACTTTGACAATAATTGGAAACAATGCTTTCCCTCATGGTATGGTTATCACCATAACAACATTAAGTTTTAAATACATACAATAGTGTTAGAAAGAACACAAAAAATTGATACATTATATTCCATCATAGTATGTATGGTTACCACCATAGCAACATTAACTTTTAAATACATACATTAGATTTAGATGGAACAATAGTATATTATTCAACAAGCGTATAATGGCGGCTGTTACCCACGAAGAAGAAGTTGTAATCTGAGTGGGTAACATCCATTATACGCAAGTTGAATACTATACTTTATCTACAACTATTTAATTTTGAAAAAAAAATCAAAAAAACGAAAAAAAAATAAACTTGATAGACATTTCAGACATAACCTCAATATAAGAAAGCTGTCATTTCTGTTAATATTTTATTTTTTGATTAGTAGGCAGTGTCAGAAGTGTGGAATAATGGCCTCATTATTCAACACTTTGTCTGTCATGGGTAATGAGTGTCATTACCCGTCAAAAATCAATTGTATAACGAATAGATAATTCAATAGNATAAAGTTATGTCTCAAATCTCGAAAATAAAAGATGGGAAAAAAATTCTACCTACGCCACTGAATTCTTCGTAAAAAGTTGCCCGTATAATGTTTTATTTATAATACTCCATCTTTGATAATAAGTGAGATATTCATTTTTGCAAAATTTTCAGTTTTTGCCGATAGGGCGTAAACAAAAGACAATAGCTGTTCGGAGTTTTCGGCATTAGCATTTTCTCGAAAAACGAGATCATGACATGTAAGCTACTTTTTTTCTATCTCTTTTAGTTTCGGAGATACCCTATGCGGACATCAAAATTGGGACACCTGTGCAGTGTGTTAATTAAGTATCGTACCCAACGTCATCATTGCAAGTATGCAACCAATATTACAGTACTGGTATTGCAATACGCAAATCGTGTATTATAAAATAAATACTGTGATATTGGTTGCATAGTTGCAATGATGACGTCGGGTTCGATAATTAATTAACACACTGTAGATGTAGAATGTAGTGGTTTTGGTTTATGTCTAGGCATCTTTCTGCCATGACATTGAGTGCAAACAGTCCTTTATGGAATCGAAATTATGTGTTGCTTTACATCCAGAGAGAAGCAGAACGAGCGACATTGCCAAATTGTTGCAACACACTTATCAATCAACCTCAAATTTTTTTTGTTATGAAACTTAAATGCATAAGAATTCAACCAGAAACCAAAAAAAATTTTTTCTGAAAGTAAAAAACAATTTAATTTAATTATTAAAGGTAATTGGATCCATAATTGATAAGATGAAAGAAACAAATCCTTTATTCTCAAATCTCTATCGAGAGTTATTTTACGGAGGAAGTTATTATGACGGATTAAAAATAAGCAAACCAGAAGAATACGATCTCGATTTACTTATGAGTATTCCAAAATATACCAAACCGGAACTTTCGCCGTCTGATTTACACGGATTTGTTAAACTAAAATTAACAGAGTTGGAGAAATTTAAACAGCAACCAGAATATAAATCTTATTATACGTAAATTATTTAATATTCGTTCTTTACAATTAAAAACGTTTTTAATTACCTTTTCTTTTAGTGATTTGCCTAAACTTCTTGATGACGAAAATTATTTAGATACGGATCGCGTAAAAAAATGGATGCATAGTGTAATAACAAAAACGATGAATAAATATGAAAAACGCGGAGATCAATACAAATTTATTTGCGAAACATCGCAATTCGAAAATACAACTTTTTACGTAATAAAAATTCAAAAAGTTCAATTTAAATTAACATTTAAATTTTGTAATCGTTTCTAGATTAAGGTTGTAACGGGAGGACCCGCTTTTACTTTACAAATTAATAATGAAGATATGAAAATGGATGTTGATTTGGTTCCGTGTTTCGTTTTCGATAATAATTGGCCTATTCATTGTAATATTAAACCAAATTCAACATCTTCCGTAAGATTTTTATCAACAACGATTTTTTTTTTTTTTTTTAATTAACAATTATATTTTAGCCAACATATTTTATTGTGCCAAAGAAACCTTACAATAACCCTAATGATGGTTTAATCGGCCGTTGTTGGAGAATGTCTTTTCAAATACAAGAAAGAGAATTAATTAGAAACAAACAATCGCTTAAACCAGCTTTGAAATTGTTAAAAAAACTTCGAGATCAATTAAATCACGTTTATATGTCTAGTTATTTTTTAAAAACTATTTTTTTATTAGAAATTGGTAATAATAAACGCGACTCAACATTTTGGACTTCGCATGTTAGCACTACATTCATGGAGGTAACTTTTTAAAGTTTATCTTTAACATGTTAAATTTTTTTATTTTATAGATGTTGAAAGTGTATCATTCTTATTTAACTCAGAAAAGAATTCCTTACTATTGGGACGAAACCTACAACATGATCGGCCACATAAAACCTATAATCATAGAAAATTACGCCAACAAAGTGGGAAATATTATTAAAAAAATCGATAACGGCGGTACAGATCCGTTAAGCGTTGCTAAATTTTTTTGTAAATCACCTCTTTAACTGCGTACTTTTAATTACGATTGAATCTTTTTAGTGGATCAACAAGAGATGAATCATTTAACAGAATATTTTTCTGCTTTCAAAGAAAAATCGCCAGAACGTGCTTTGAGTAAATCTGAAGTAAGCGAATTAAGTTTTCGTAATGACTCTGATGTTTTAAGATCAAACTCTTCCAAAGAAAATGAAGTCGAAACCCAACAGCAATTAAAAGATATAAACGAAAAATTAAATGTAATGATTAAATTGCAACAATCACTAATGACCACAATGTGTGATTTAAGTGATAGGGTAAAATGTATTGAAATTAAAATAAATTCGACTGTTTAAAATAGAAGTTAATTAAGTTATTTATAAAAGTGGCAACTATATTTGTATGTTATGACTTATTGAAATTACCATTTTTTTAGATTAACAATAAATTCTTCATTGTTCTTAATATTTTATTTATTTCATGAAAACCATTATGTTATTGTTGTCTATATGTTTAATATAACATTTTACATTATTTAGGCCCACTTTTACCACCTCTTGATAAATTTATCCGATAGATAATTACCATGGTTACAGCGGTTTTAAGCGCTCTCATTGGTTAAGAGCTCCAATTTATCTATCGGTTAAATTTATCAAGAGATGGTAAAAGTGGGCCTTAATAACATTTATTTTGTAAAAGTTGTAAAATGAAATTAAGGACGAAGTGTTACAAGTTTACAGGTTAAAATTTAAGAGCACTCTTTTTTAATAAAAAAAATATTAAGAAACTTGAGAAAAATTCAGGAATCATCATGTGGTTTAAAAATCGACGATTTTTTTTTAATCAATGTGAGATCACCCAAAAAGCATGTTAAAAATAAAAAGAAAGTGACTAACACTAGATTAACTTAAGTTATAAAACTTCTTTTATATGATAAATAACTTCAAGTTTAAAATGTCAACCTCAATTTTGTCATATTTGTAATCTTCATTAAAAATCCTTTAAAATGAGTACAAACACGACATATTTATCTTCAATATTAATGAAGTTATGGTCAACTTCCGGTTAAGAATGTCAACAGTAAAATTCTCCCATTACTCT